GAGTTTCCTGGTGGTGCGGGTCTCCGCATCCCCGAAACTTTGATGTTTCTGTAGGGCGGAGGCAGGCTGGAGAGGTGATGGAGGCCGGGGTCTCTGTCAGATTTTTATTTTTTTCCTTGTCGGGTAATTGACTATTTTAGGTCAGTGGCTCCTAGCCTTTTCTGTTTTGCAATCCTCCTCCCCAAAATCGTACGTCTGCAGTGTTACTTTAATTGGATTTTTATCCCGTTGTTCATTTTACGATGGGTAGTTGGGGATTTGGTCCTTGAGCCCGATGTGTCTCAGCCTCACCCCTTCCTCAGGTCAGAAGCCGAAATGCGTTGCTGTCCTTTTATTTCTGTTCGATAGTCTCCTGACTTTGCTGTTTTTCACCCTTGGTTTGTGGTTCCTACACCCTGTTAATTACCCAGCAGAAAACTCGAAAGCAGTTGGAATGTGGGTTTCCATCGATGGCCTCGGGACACGCATTCGCTCTCCTGGTTGCTGCGTGTTGTCGGGAGCCAGTAAGGGAGGCTGGAAATAGTGGGTTCTTACGCTGTCTCTCCAGTCTTGTCAGGGAGTTTCAGGATGGGTGTGTGGTAAAAAACCATGACTTTACGTTCATACATTTGAATATCCGTAGTTTTCAAGAGCAGTGTACCTTTTCGGCATCTTTCATCATTTATTTTGGTTTGCCTTCCTTGCATTAGTGTAGATTGCACCTGCAAAGGCAATGTCTTCTAAGAATGTGGGAGTCTGTGGGTTTTTTGGGGTGAATCCTGAAAGACTTGTGTTTCACATGGTCATCCTTGAGGACCTTGAGGCCATCCCTGGTGCTTCTGCCTCTGCATGCATGGGGAAGTTCTAGCAGCTGGTTGAACATATGGGTAGAGATGGGCTCTAAAATCATCATCTGTCTGCCTACTTGAGTTCTTAAGAAGCATTCTTACTCAAAAATGAAAGCTTCAGTGGCTTGTCTAAACTGTATAAGAGTACAAGACAGATTTTTTTTTTTTGAGGGAGTCTGAGTACATCTTGGTTTTAAAGACAGCATTATTGCAACTTCTTTTTGGACTTTAAATTGCATTTGATTGCTACAGGCAGTCAACAGTCATGTAAAAAGCACTCGCTGTGTGAGGGATAATGAACAGTAAAATAGTTTGAGTCATAATTTACAAAAAGAAGCAGCTTGTTCTCGGTTTTTTTTCAGAAGTTTAAACTGTTGTTGAGGATACAAAAAGCAGCTTAGACACTTGGTGCAAGAGACAGGCTTATTGATATAAATTGTAATGCTGTTGTCACAAGAGAAAAATAGAAATAGCACATATAGTTACTGAATCACAGTTTTTTTTTTAAATAGGTATTGTTGTCAAACAGATTGTTGACTTTAAAAAAAAAAAAATTAATTTGTGCTGCCATTGCCAAGAGGTTGACTTCTGCCATTGTGGACGTGTTTCTTCCACTCAGTGAGGTCATGTATTTCGTCTCACAGCTTTCAAAAAGAAAAAAAAATTATATGCAGATCTAATGTGATTATTCTGTGAAAGCAAAATCTGTATTTGTTCCTAGTTTTCTGTATCACAGTGTGACCTGTTGTGCTGCGTAGTTCACATGCTGTGCATGGCCATCCTGGCACTGGGGTATTTTTCGCATAACCAAAGGCTCGTCTGCACGTTATGTCAGGAGTTAAAGGTGAAATACTGGTTTGCTGTGTCCCTTACATTATCTGTTACTAGGTGGGTATAAATAACAGAATCTTTTGCTCAGAAAAATCCATTGAAAGACACCAGACATAGAGACAGGACAACTTTCTAGTCTTGGGCGTGATGAAGCAGTGCGGTTAAATGACAGCATGCGAGCTTAGAAATCACTGAGCCGTGGGCACGGGCAGCCAGGCTCCGCTGCTTCAATTTCCCGAGGATCTTCCTGGGCACACCAGACGGGTGTAGGGCTGCTCTTGTGAAGGTCCCTGTAGGGGGAACGTGCCATGGGCTCTTCCAGGGATCAGGATGGTCGAAGCAGGTACTTTTTTTCTGCCCTGAGGAAGACTATAGTATAGTGAAAAACAAGACCTGCAAATTAACAGAACATATGTGGAAGGCGAAGACAGAGATATGTACCTTGTGTCACACGGGTAAACACGATAGTTTTCGGTCTCAAAAGTACCAAATCATTGGAGTTTTCAGGGTGAATCCCTGCAAGCTTTGGCAGCTGCCTCTGAGCTGCGGCTGTCATCGTTTGGCTGCTCATTGACATCCACATGGAGATTTTAAGGCACAACGTGCAGGAACGGTGCAGATCCCGTAGACTGGTGCGAGCAGGGCGTACAGGGTGTGAGGAGAGAAAGCAGGGTTGTCACTTCAAAAAAAGGCAGGGGGAAAGAACACGTGTAGTGGTTGTCACTGGTGAAGCGGAAAGCACCGAGGAACAGGGGAAGAACCAAGGTACCGTTGTGCACACCTTGGAGACAATGACAGGAAGCTTGGGCTCAATGAGATGGGGAAGAAGAAGTGTTCTTGGGATTCGAAAAGATGAGATCTGATCGGTTCAGAGTTATGGAAATGGTCAAATTGGCAGACACGTTTTCTGTAAATTAGCATGGGGGTAATTGGAGATCAGAGAGAAGATTACGGCGATCAAGGCAAAATGATGATTAGGTCCAGGGTTAGCATTTTTGTTGTCTGTGTAGAGAGGAACTAATGGATAAATAAAATGACCTGCTGTGTGTTTATGAGAGCCATCAATTTAGTGTCTTTGTTTCGAGGATGGTTACGGATTCTGTGTTATCACAGAATATGATTTTAGCACGGTTCTTTAATTCTCACTGTCCACTTTCTCCTGGTCTTGCAGTTTCTCAGGGCAGTGTATGAGTGTAATTACTTACTTAAAGTCTTGATATTAAGTAAATATGGAACCAAATACAGCAGTATAGATGGTGCTGTTTCATTTTAATTTGGTTTCAGATTTTAAGCTTATTAATTAAATTTAATTGTAAGAAAATGACTGGACCATAGTCATTAGAGGAGGAAACATCTGTGTGAACATAGATTTGAGAGTTCCTGGCCTTGAACCCCTCCAGGGATGGGGCATCCACAGCTTCTCTGGGCAACTGGGGCCACTGCCTCATCCCCCGCACAGGAAAATATTTCTTCCTAATGCCTAATCCAAATCTACCCTCTTTCGGCTGGAGACTGTTCCCCTTCATCCTGCCACTCCACTCCCTGACTCACACGTGTCACATCACACGAGACAGTCGGTTTGTTGAGGACGTAGCCAGTGAAGCCCCAGTTAGCTTTCTCACGATTTGCTTTCTGTGTTCTCGGCAGCATTTCTTCTGTCCCCACTAATCCTGGCATCTGACTTCCAGCCCATGTCCTTCTTCCTGAATTGTGGAAAGTTGTCAACTAAAAAGCAGGTTTTGTGGAATGTTTGGAAACCAGTGCATACTTGGGTTAAGCTCAACCTGCCTGGTCGGTCAGGAGGTTAAAGTTGGATTGTCTCTGCATTTTGGGTGCTTTATCATAGGTTTTGTTAGCTGCACTGTTCCTTAGATGCCGCTGTTTTGATGGGTCGAGACCAAGAGTGGCAGTACTAGGAGTAGCTGGGCTCTGCTTTTAAATAAGAAAAGTTATTTTGATGATCAATATAAAAAGCCTTAATTTGAATTGTCCTGTGGGTGAACTGGAAATTATCTTGTAATCGCCGCATACTTTTGATTTTCACCTGTAGTCTGAAAGTGGTTTTACGGATAAACTGTATTTTTGTAGTAGGTTACAGGAAGGGTTGCTGTTTTGAAACATCACCTCTGTAATTGTGCTTGTCTGAGATATGTGTGTGTGCTTTCTAGTTGGTTTTAATATTCGTTTCATTTCTGATAGAAAATTGAAGTTTATTTCTGTCTTTCTTTTTGTTCTTCAGAGTAAAAGATGCTGGCTGCCAGTAGCAGAACAGATCTTCTGTGGAACATATCTCTGTAAATCTTCCCTAAAACTACCCAAAGGCATATATTCCGCCTGTGATGGACCCTTGGAATACTGCTATGTTAGGCTTGGGTTCTGATTCTGAAGGGTTTTCGGTGAAAAGCCCCTCTGCAGTAAACATTGGCACGTTGGTGGGAAAAGGAGAAATAGAGCTGGAAGGTTGCACCAAGGAAGAAGACGACAGTAAGAAGAAGAATCGGGAAGGAAACAATACGGAGAATGGGAAGAATGAGGTTCTGACTGATGCACAGCAACAGTTTTCAGTGAAAGAAACAAACTTTTCAGAGGGAAACTTGAAACTGAAGATCGGTCTTCAAGCAAAGCGAACGAAAAAGCCTCCCAAGAATCTTGAGAATTATGTGTGCCGGCCTGCTATAAAAACCAGTATCAAGCAACCCAGAAGGGCACCGAAGAGTGGGAAGATGACAGATGAGAAGAACGAGCACTGTCTTTCAAAGCAAGTGAGTGGTGTGTTTATGTTGTGTTGTGCAAGTCATAGTAAATTTAAACTGTACTTAAAAGTTTCTGGCATCTCTGCACAATCATATTCTCGTGCTTTTCCATGTAACCTCTGATACTGAAGATTCTGAAGTTAGAAATGGTTTGTTTTAATTTCCATCGACAGGAAAAAATTACAACTTTTTTTAATAGCAGTGAAAGATAATTCCCATGTCGTCTTGAAGTGCACATCATAGGTAAATTTCTGAAAAGTAACAGCGTGATTTTCAGTCTCTTGTATGGAAGAAAGTGGGGGTCTTGTCTCTATTTCATTGGAGCTCTGCATTTGCTGTACTTGTCTCTACTATTTGGATTTATATTTTTTTCTCACCTGTTAGAACCATTGTTTTTGCTGTGTGTCTTAAGTGACAGTCTGCGACGAATGTATCTAGCAGTGTCTGAAAAGTAAAAAATTATAAAATGCATATAAATGCAGTGGCTTGAGAGAGGTGCCAGGTATTTTCCAAAGGTAAGGAGGTAGCCCTGCCTTGAGGATGTCTTGTTTTTATGATCTGCATGATGTAACAAGTAAGAGCCGCAAGAACAGATAGGGAAAATAGGATAAATGGCAAGAATTCTAAATGTAGTTGCATAGGTGCTAAATTTTAGAAGTGTTTTGTTACAGCGTGCTCTTTTTTTTCAGTATACATAAAAGTTTTGCTAATGAATGAAATGGTAGAATATACCCTCCTCACTGTGTCTCCTTTTAGAACACACCTGTTGATGTAAAGCTGAAGTTTTTCCCAACACTCCCATTTTTCTTGCACCTATCTGTGTTCCCTTACAAGTGCGTGTTTATCTTTCCCAGTTGCCTTACGCATTCCTCATGTAGCCTTGTCAACTTTGCAACGCCGGGCAATTCGGGAAGAGAACACAAGCCCCTGGAAGTCAGAGTCCTTCCCTCACAAGGGGTTGCCTGTTTGTGGGGCTCCTGTTCCAAAGGTTCCCAAGGCTGAAGGTTTTTCATTTCTCTGTCCTGTGTCCTGTTCGTAAGGCTGCCTGCGTAAATCTGTCCTGGCATATCTCATGAGGCAGAGCCTACCCAAGGGGAAGGAAGATTCCTTTATCTCGTACTGAGACGATGTCTGTCTGACGTACCCAAACCTTTGTCTTTCCCCTGGCATATTCCGACTTAAGTTTTCCTAGAGGAAGAGGATCTGTGAAGAGAAATAATAAATTATACCCTGAAAGAACAAGCATGCTGTATGTTGTGGGTAATGACTAAAATTACTTCTTCAGACTCCACCATACAAACTGTGTTGTGTTTTTTTTTCTCTGTTATAAACAGAAAGGCGTTTTTTGCCAGCCTGTCATACAAGAAATTCTCAAGTAGCACATTACGTAACTTAGAACTTTGGTATGGCCTTTATTTTACATGCTTCCATTTCAGAACAAGCTTATTGCTTCTAAAGATTTCTCTAACGTCATCTTGAAAAAATTTGGAAGAGTAGATCACCATTTGTCATTATGCTGATGAATCTTTTGGGTTTTTTTTCAATAAGACTATATTGCTGTGAGTTAAGTGTTGGGCCAGTCTGGAATATCCAGTCATTGATCTCTCTTGATGCCCAAACTGAGGTGGTACTTGCAACTGAAAACCTCTTACGAGCAAAGAGAGCCATTAAGTGTGGAGACTTTCCCATTACATCAAGAGATTGTGCCCTGGGAATTTTTACTGGGGAGAGTAATTAATACTTAAACTCAGATGGTGACAGCATGGATTCTTCATCCTTGACGTCTCTGTTTGTATGCTAGGTTTTTCCTCAAGACATCAATCATATTTCAAATGGAAATTAGAAAGTTGGGAAAAATATTACTGGTATTATTCGATATTATGTACTATATCACATCATTGATACCGTGTCACTTCTTAATTCAGGCTGTTCAAAGTGGGGTTCCTCCTGCTCCGTGTCTGGTGAACAACCTAAACGCACAGTGTAAAGAAGCACAGATCTGTTGCATTAAATTTGCATTACTTAAAATAGTTTCAGATCCCTGACTAATGATAATTCCCTTTAGATACTCTGCTCTCTCTCTCAGATTGCACTGAAAAGGTTTTCAAGTTGTTTAACTCTGTGTGTTCCCCACTGCCATTCTGGCACTTTGGATTGTTAGAAATGATGGTTTACAGCATCCCGCTGCTTTCTAGCAAGCGTGATTAAAAAGTGTCTTTCTAGGAACAAGTGGTAAATGTGGTTTAAAACCATTGCATGTTCTGAATATGATACCTGAGGGAGTTTTTTTACTGCAAGCAAGATTTAGCACTGCAAATTACACTTCAGAAAATGAAGCTATCCCTCAATCTTTCCTTCCAATGAAGAGGAGGGACAAAAAGCAGACAGATGACCAACTCGGAGTGAGGTGTGGCAATACTCCAGTGTGAAACGGAACTCAGTGTACCTAGTTAACCACAGAGACACAAACAGAAGTGGTGGAAATCTTCTGGGAACATCAGTGTAAAAATTCAGATAGTGGGAAAATACTTGGTACTCCCTTTTGTGACAGCTATGCTTCTTCCCCAGCTTGCTGCTGAAAGGCCGTGTGTTCAGTTGTGTTAGTAGAGGGTTTTTCTTCGTTCTGAAAGATGAGTGGGTTCAGTGAAGTGGGTAAATTGTGTATTTACAGTTTGTCCTCCAGAAATGTGTAGACAAAAAAGACAATAGTCTTCTGAAGAGAAAATCATATGACAGCGAAGAGAGACCTAGGAATGGCTAAGATTCCCAGGGTTAAAGAGAAACACAATCAGAAGTCACTGTGATAGCAAAACAGTATTCGGTTTGCTTTTTGACACTGAGTATGAAACTTGGATTTCCTTCGTTCAGAAAAGCGTCCTGTGACAGAGACACTGCTGTATGGCTAGTGTGCCTTTGCTAAGCCTGAAAACCTGAGCCTTAGACAAATACAAATTGTGCTTCTGTGAGCTTTAGCACAAGAGGTGTCCAAGTGGTTTCCCCGTGTGTGCAAGGTGAATGCAGCCAAGTGACAGCAAAGGTGCATTACCAAAGTTTCAGAAAATAGGAAGGTAAGAAGAGATCATCACAGCCTGCTGGAATTCTAAAGTAGTCGTGGTGAAACAGTGGAGCAAGCTGGAACACGCCCTTTTGCTCCATCTCCTTATTTCTTTGTCAACTGCTGAGTGCAGGATTCTGCAGTTCCTCCTCTTGCCCCTGGTTACGTGGGGAGGCTCTACAGGAGAGTTTTCTGGTGAAATCACTGCCACTTAGAGGACAGATGATGTTAAGTGCAGTGTATTTGAGGCATTTTTAATGGGTTTGCACCAAGATGAAGCCATCTGAAAGCCTGGGTGACGTAGAGTAGGTCTAGAACTCTTGACTAGAAATGCCTGTAATCCAAGAGAAACTGCTCCAGACTTTAGTGTGGCACAGGCAGCTTGCGTTGCGCATGAAGGTGTCGGTGAAGAAGCCTGAGGTACGTGCTTGTTTGCAGAGATACTAAGTGAGTTAGATGGATGAAACACCTACTAGATGTTAGGGGTTCTTCTGTGAGTTATTTCTTAGTAGTCCTCACAAAACTATCCACATTAAAACCCGACTTTGTGCTTTTCTCTACATTTGTTCAAGTTAGATGGTGAAGCAGGGCTCTCTGCTCCGTGGAACCACAAAAGCCAAACCCGCTGCCTGTCAGGCCAGCCTCCAGCACCACAGGAAACTAGGTACGGGTTTGCAGAGCTGCGTGTGAACGTGGCCACGCCAGCCGTTGAGGCTTTGACACGCTGTCCTTGCGGAAAGCACTCTGCAACGTGTGTTGGACTTCAGAGCTCTCCTTCCCATCTAATTGAGCGATGGTTTGCACAACAGGAGTTATTTCGGGAAAGCGGGGCACCTTTTTTGTCTCCAGTGCAGTAGGACATATCATGGCTGCTCTCTGCCTCCCAGCTGTATGTTTTGTGAGTATGAGGGTGGCGGAGTTGTGGGGAACTTCCTGAAATGTGACGCTCCAGCACAATTTACATAAGATTGCAGCTGCCACAGAAAAGCTGGGCTACGTGCCAGACTATTCTCCGTAGACCTCCGTAGCTCTCTCTTACACCACAGCTTTAAAACCAGTAACCGATACGACTGGTGGGTTTTGTTCTACTACTGCAGCAGGTTCAGAGACATCCGACCCCAACCGATGCTCCTGGCTGCCCTCCCCCAGAAGGAGAACTTTGATCAGTGACATTTCTCTGTTCTTGTGAAATCTTGTTTGCTTTCTGGAAACACATTTGGGCTGGTGGGGCAGTGATCGGAACAGCCAGGGAAATTCAGCTTCTGGTCTGCGGGGGTTTTAGTGGGGATCTAGTAAAGAAGCAGGCGGTGATCGAGGCTAGTCTGAGACATACGGGGTCATCTCTTTTCGCTAGCTTTTAGATAACTTTCTTAAAAACACATATAGTTGGCGTGTCCCAGCACTTACGCTGTCGCTGATGCTGGCTTACGCTGAGAGATTCACTTGATTTTCTCAGTGCATGAGCAGTGTATTCCAACTCCTTTGCTTCCATTGTTGCCTTCCATACAGAAAATGTATGTAGAGAAGAATGTCCTTCCAAAAGAAAAGATTTAATTTATTGAGATGTTCCTAATAAGATTTATTGAGGTAATGGGTACTGCAATTTTTTTTAACCTTTACAGAATAAATTTCAAATTTGGTTAGGTCAGAACTGAAAATAACTTTATTCCCTTTATTCCATGTGTGCTATTGGCCCTGCCCTGCCCCGTACAAACAGCAGAATGATTTGACTTTCTTTGGTACTGTCAGCACTCTGCTGTGAGGAGAACTGGTCCTGCAGTGGTTGAGGGTATCAGGGATGGGACGGAGAAGCACCGACAGGGCTGTGCAGGGACAGGGTCACACGATGCCTGCCCCTGCGGTGCATTGCTCGGCTGCTTCTCAGTAGCATGTGAGGTCTTCCAGTGCAATCACGCTATAAATAGTTAGCCCAGTACATTATTGTTAATGGGGTTTTTTTTAATAAATATTAACAGCATTTTTGGAGAATGTTTATAATTGGGGAGCAGATTAAATGGTTTACATTTGAGGACTGGGAGTGAATTTGGGTTTCCTTAACCTCAGAAAAGCCTTAACATGTCCACTGGAATATATTTGCTTTAAAATTAATAGGATAATGAAGCATGTGTTTATATAGTTACCCTATTATCAAAAGCAGGTATTAATCATCTCAACAAAAAACATATTGTGTTTCTCAGAGAGAGTCTTTGTGCTCTGTTCCTAAAGATATATTTTTTTTTTTAATTAACTTCTAGGACCCTTCAAAGTTGTACAAGAAAGCTGGAGAAGTTGCAACAGTTGAATTGCATGCGGAAGAAGGTATACAAGTAGAAACAAATCCTTTATCTAAGAAAGTTACCCCCTTGCACTCTGAAATGACAGATTATATAAAGTCATCTCCTCCAACTCTTATCAGTAGCCATAATTCTGACTTAAAGGATAGAACACAAATTAACGGAGCAACAACTGTAACAGAAAAATTGGCTCAACTTATTGCAACTTGTCCTCCTTCAAAGTCTTCCAAAACAAAGCAGAAGAAGCCTGGAAATGGAACTGCATCCGGTTTGGTTAAAGACTCTGGGAAGAAGCTGCCAGGAACCATAACTGCAAGTGGGTTAGTTAATAAAGATTTAGTGAAGAAATTGCCAGGGTCTGGAATTGCTGTTGGGTTGGTGAACAAGGACTCAGGGAAGAAGCCATTAGGGATCGGCAGTGCAGCCATACTGGTGAACAAGGACTCTGGGAAGAAGCCACAAGGCATTGGCCCGTTGATTGGATTGGTGAACAAGGACTCTGGAAAGAGGCCGCCAGGGATCAGCACTCCAACCGGGTTAGTTAACAAGGACTCTGGGAAGAAACAGCCGGTGACCAGCTCCCCAGTTGGATTAATCAGCAAAGATGTTGGGAGGAAGCTTTCGGGTATCGGCACTCCAACCGGACTGACTAATAAGGAGTCTGTCAAGAAGCCAGTGGGGATCGGCACTCCAGCAGGATTGATTAGCAAGGATGCTGGGAAGAAGTTGTTGGGAATAAATAGTCCTCCAGGACTGGTTAACAAAGATGCTGGGAGAAAGATGCCAGGGACTGGCAGTACGACCGTTCTGACTAACAAAGACTCTGGAAGGAAGACACCAGGGATTGGCAGCCCAGTGGGACCAGTTAATAAGGACTCTGGGAGGAAGATGCCAGGAATTAGCAGTCCAGTGGGATTGGTTAGCAAGGACTCTGGAAATCAGTCCGGTTGGTTTGGTTAACAAGGACTCTGGAGCTCTGAAAGGAGACTCTCTTACACCTGCCTCGGAGCCATTTAAGCTTCCTTGCAATTCAAACCTCAGTAGCCTTGAAAGCCATGAGACTACAGACTTGCTGAAGGAAAATACTACTAGCAAAACATTTGAGAAGCACGTTATGAGACAGAATAAAGAAAGTATCTTGGAAAAATTTTCAATTCGGAAAGAAATTGCTGATGTTGGCAAAGAGATGTTTAATGAAGGAATCTGCGTTCCACAGGATGGTTACTCAACCAGTGAAAAAGGGATCTATGAAACATCTAAGCATGAAAAACAGCCTCCGGTATATTGCACTTCACCAGACTTCAGAACAGGAGGTGCTTCAGATGTATCGACAGCAAAGTCCCCGTTCAGCGCAGTAGGAGAGGGAAATCTCCCATCGCCTTCACCCACGGTGTCGGTGACCACCTTAAACAGGAGCCTCTCAACATCGTCTTCACAGTTAGCATCTAACTCGTTGCATTTAAGTTCCACAGCAGATATCTTAGAAGGTATTTCAGATCAGATTGGCAAAACTCAGTTTTCTTCTGACAGTACACTTCTGAATATAAACAGAACATTGAACCGTACTCTGAGCACCGATTTTAAAGGTGCTGACAAAGATTTAAATGATTCAAAAGCTACTTATGTAGAAACTTCGAGAACTAGTCCTTCTACAGGGAAAAAGCCTATTTTGGCAGCTGAAACAAGCATTCATGCTACTGTCACCCCTTCGGTAGTTAGTTTTACAAGCTTGTTTAGTAGCAAGCAGTTCCTTAAGATTGGTGCAATAGCTGCATCGGATAAATCCTGCCAAGGAGCAAAAAACCTGAGCACTACTCAACAATCAAAACCTCTAAAGAAGAGAAAAGGAAGGAAACCACGATGGACTAAAGTGGTGTCAAGAAGCACGTGTCGACCTCCAAAGGGTCTAGAACTAGAAAGGTCAGAGCTTTTTAAAAACATTTCATGCAGTGCACTATCAAGCAGTAACTTGGAGCAGGCCAAATTCTTGAAAAACATAGGATCGTCTTCATTTGTGGAGCATGAATTTGTCAAGCATCAGTTGCCAAAACTGAATGAAGCTAGTGGACAGTCTCTTGCACTGTTATCTGAGACTGACAAGCAAACTCAAAAGTTCTACAGCACTCACAAACAACCCTCTAGTTTGTGTATGTCAGATGATTTCTTGCCTGACATGTATAAACCAAAAAGAGGAAGACCTAAGTCCAAGGAGATGCCAGAGCTCGAAGGTCCCCCCAAAAGAACTCTGAAGATCCCAGCATCAAAAGTCTTTTCAGTGCAGTCAAAAGAAGAGCAAGAACCTCCAATTTTGCAGCCTGAAGTAGAAATTCCCTCCCTAAAACAGAGCTTATCAGGACAACCTTTTCCTAAAAAGAGAGGGAGACCTAAAAGACAGATCAGGTCATCAATTAAAATGAAGCCACCTGTTCTTTCAGTGGCACCTTTTGTTGGGACAGGTAACTCGAGCAAGACGGAGTCTGAAAGCGATCAACATGGAAGTGGGGATTTTTTTGAGAGAAAGGACCAGCTTCGAGGGCCAGAAGAAGTTCAAAAACCTAATATTTGTAGCATGACTGATTTGGAAGTAGACTCAGACAGAAAAGTTGCCAAGAGAAATAATGGACAGTTAATGAAAACAATTATTCGAAAAATAAATAAAATGAAAACTCTGAAGCGAAAGAAACTTTTGAATCAGATTCTGTCTAGTACAGTGGAACCAAATAACAAAGGGAAAGTGCAATCTAAACTCCACAATACAGTGTCGACTCTTGCTGCCACGTTTGGTTCAAAATTAGGCCAGCAAATAAATGTTAGCAAGAAAGGAACAATTTATATAGGAAAAAGGAGAGGAAGGAAACCTAAAGCTGTCCTGAATGGTATTTTAACTAGCAGTTCTGCCAGTTTGACAGTTCTGGAGAAGTCTGCTCAACAAGCTCCTGGGACGTCACTGGGACAAGTACTTCCCCATTTGCTGCCTTCAACAGCTAATAATTCCGAGATTCTTCCATCTCCGGTTTGCTCCCAGTCATCTGCAGTGAGCGGGGGACAGAGCCCCGTGGGCAGCGACGCAGGGTTTGTGGAGCCCAGCTCGGTGCCGTACTTACACATACACTCCAGACAAGGAAGCATTGTTCAGACACTTGCCATGAAAAAAGCTGCTAAGGGAAGGAGGAGGTTATCTCCACCTACGTTGTTGCCAAACTCTCCTTCTCACTTGAGCGAGCTGACATCGCTGAAGGAAGCCACTCCATCCCCGGTGAGCGAGTCTCACAGCGACGAGACGATTCCCAGCGACAGCGGAATAGGAACAGATAATAACAGCACTTCAGATCGAGCAGAGAAGTTTTGCGGGCAAAAGAAGAAAAGGCATTCATTTGATCACGTTTCCCTCATTCCACCCGAAACGTCCACCGTTTTAGGTAATCTAAAAGAAAAGCATAAACACAAATGTAAGCGCCGCAGTCACGATTACCTTACTTACGACAAAATGAAGAGACAGAAGCGAAAAAGGAAAAAGAAGTATCCTCAACTGCGAGGTAGGCAGGACCCAGATTTCCTCGCCGAATTAGAAGAATTAATAAGTCGATTAAGTGAAATTAGGATAACCCACAGAAGTCACCATTTTATACCCCGAGATTTACTGCCTACCATTTTTAGGATAAATTTCAATAGTTTCTATACCCATCCTACTTTTCCTTTAGATCCTTTGCACTACATTAGAAAACCTGATTTAAAGAAGAAAAGAGGCAGGCCTCCAAAGATGCGGGAGGCTATGGCAGAAATGCCCTTTATGCATAGTCTCAGCTTTCCTCTGTCCAGTACTGGGTTCTATCCCTCTTACGGCATGCCTTACTCTCCTTCCCCGCTTGCAGCTGCTCCCATAGGCTTAGGTTATTACGGAAGGTATCCTCCAACTCTGTATCCTCCTCCACCTTCTCCTTCTTTTACTACCCCCCTGCCACCCCCCTCCTACATGCACACTGGCCACTTGCTCCTCAATCCCACCAAATACCACAAGAAGAAGCATAAACTCCTACGGCAGGAGGCGTTCCTCACGACAAGCAGGACTCCGCTCCTGTCAATGAGCACGTACCCCAGCGTTCCCCCTGAGATGGCTTACGGCTGGATGCTCGAACACAAGCATAGACATCGCCATAAACACCGAGAACATCGCTCTTCTGAACAGCCGCAGGTTTCCATGGACACTATAACAGCTAACAGCTCCTCGCGAACAGTTCTGGAGTCCTTGAAGCGCTACAGATTTGGGAAGGAGGCTGTTGGTGAGAGGTACAAACACAAAGAGAAACACAGATGTCACATGTCTTGTCCACACCTCTCACCTTCCAAGGGTTTGCTCAGCAGAGACGAACAGTGGGTCAGGAGAGAGCCTTCGGAGTCGAGCTCGTTAGCACTGGGATTGCAGACACCGCTGCAGATAGACTGCTCAGAAAGCTCCCCGGGTCTGTCCCTGGGGGGATTCACTCCCAGCTCGGAGCCCGCCAGCAGCGACGAACACACCAATCTTTTCACAAGTGCAATAGGCAGCTGCAGAGCCACAAACTCTGCCAGCACCAACGGACGCAAAAAATTAACTGACAGCCCCGGACTCTTCAGCGCAGCGGACACC